AAAAAAAAAAAAAAAAAAAAAAAAAAAAAAAAAAAAAAAAAAAAAAAAAAAAAAAAAACGCAATAATCTCACCAGTTTTGAAAAAAAATACATGTATTCCATGAAATTGAATGCCACCAATATTTTAATACATTACCGACTAAGCAACGTTTAATGCTGCTTCAGAAACATTTATTTTGAAAGATATAAATGTTTTGTGAGTGTTGCAGAAACGTTTCCAAACGTCGATGAAACCTTGAAATGTCCGACGGTAAAATCAAATTTTACCAGTCGATATCTTAAACAAGATGTTTTATAACCGTTTGATAAATGTCTCTGAAATGTTTCCGAAATAATTTTAAAATGTACTGAAAGTAATAAACAGAATTTTTTTTAATGGTCTTATTAATACTGTTATGAAAAAAAAATCTTGATTAGAGGGGATAACATACTAGTGATGTTATTTACGTACATTTAACACATAAGTACCATTGTATGAATAGTAACAACATTCCAAATGTTTTTTTTTCATCACTTGCTAATTAGATACTATTTAAATATCTGTGATAGAGGTAAACTTTTCATTAAAGTAAGACAGAAAATTAAATCTTGAGTATAGTTACGAAAAACAAAATTAATAAAAATTGGTTACTAGAATTAATATTCACATTTATGTAATGCAGAGGCATCATACTCTTTTGCATATATTTTTCAAACTTAATTAATAATATACAAGTTTTTGAGCTGAATAATTTATTGACTCGATATTTTTGAGCTATTTCATTTTCTTTTTTTTCTTAGCTATACTCTTGAATTTTTTTTTGTATGTCTTTCTTTGTCTTTCTTTATTGTAGTTTATTTTTTTTAAATATGTAGTTAGCAAAAAATTTTAAATGCACTTTATAAATTTTCTTACTATTCATATAATATTTGTAAACGAGTCAGTTGTAAATAACAAAAATAAAAGAACATGGTACTTGTGCCGTAGGTATACGTAAATAACAATGATATATCTGGCGACCTCGGCTTAGGTGAGTTTTTTTAATTTAATTTTACTATTATTGTCGTGTTTTGGTATTAATAAAGGTTTTAATACAATTGAAAAANCTGCATAATCGTGATCAGCGACCACCACAACCCCCGAGTAAGTAGTTTGGCTCGTTGTTTCACAAATAAGATGCAAAAGTCCAGAAGACAAAGTGTTTGATGCACACCCTGGGCCCCAGATGGATCAGATGCTGTCGCCGACTGCATAATCGTGCTTAGCGACCCCCAAAACCTATGAGTACCGAAATTGGATTCATTTCTATTTTGAGCTTGCTCAGATATATCTGGCAACACAACCTTAGGTGAGTTTTTTTAATTTAATTTTACTATTATTGTCGTGTTTTGGTATTAATAAAGGTTTTAATACAATTGAAAAAAAAAATTTATAAAAAATATTCTTGGAATTTTAAAACGTATGACAATGTTTTCGGAAGCATTTCAAAAGTAATTAAGAAATGTTTTAGTAATGATTGGTACAATACGATTTTAACGCTGGACATTTCAAGGTTTTAGAACGACGCAGAAGATATTTCTATAATCCAAAATATACGATTCTGAAGCGAACGGTGCTTGGTTGGTACTTAGTACCGTCATTATTTGTTCGAAGTGCTTGATAAAAAAAAATTTTAAATTGATATTGAATGATATTCAAAAATTGTATACTTGCCAACATTCATATTCACTTGCTGAACATCCAATCGACATATATCTTGTGGATAACGTTTGCAGTCTTGTCGAAAAGTATTTTTTTCTTCATATGCTACTTTCGCTTTTTGAAAATGATATTTATATTTGTTTACGAATTTGTCTGAAAACATGTCAAAATTTGGCACAGTTTTGACATCAAAATATTGCGATACATTGTTGACTTCTACATCAATCGCATTAATCCATGATTTTAATTTGTTCCTTTGTTCTTCCTTCGTACTTTTTGGAATCTATAAATAGTATTAAAAAAGATAAAATCATTTTGTTCTATTTTCTTACAGTGTAATGTATTTTATGATTTTTATTTTCTCTTTGCTGAATTTTTCATTGTAGCAGATATAATTGAGTAATTTTGTTAAGAGTGTAGAATTATATATAACTTTTTATTACCATTTTCAATATTTCTGTAAGGGAAATAATATGTTTTTCGCAGTGGAATTCGTTGTTCTTTCTTGAAATATATATAGATTCGGAGCTTTCATCAAAGAGCTAGTATCAAGAAAATTACTCTCCGGTTCTTCTAATAATAATAAGTTATCTATCAGATTTTCATCACTCTTTGCTTTAGTACACATGGATTCAGAGCTTCTATCGTCATAGCTTTTATCAAGAGAAGCAGACCCTTGCTGTTCTACTACTGCTGTCAAATGACCTTTTAGTCTTTTGCTACTTTTTGTTTTCACATATATCTTATTAACATTCGTTATGCTCCCTGTATTCTGAAGTACTACCTCCTTGCAATAAACAAACATATAATTTATAAATAAATTTTTAATAAATGTATAATTTTGATGTTACTGTGTGGCTACAGTTATCCCCATGAAAGTCGAATTATTACAAAAATAAAATACTAGGCAAGTTTAACGTGTTCAAATTCAAAATATTTGCTGACTAATTTTTGTAAGCTTTATCATTCTTCTAATAAATAATAATTTTATAAATGTATTTACAGTGTATCAAAGTAGTAAAATCCAAATCGTTTAAAATCAAAGTTATGGTTTTTTGTGACACGTACTATTTCTCCTACCTTCGCAGTATCGTACAGTTTATTACTTCTAATAGGGCCTTAAGTGTTGTACTATATTTTAAAGGAATATTAGATATCACTATTTAGATATATGTATACACAAGATTACTTTCAAGTGAAGTTAAAATAATAGTTTTCGTTATTATTGTTGGAGGAGTAAGATTTACATATTTGTAGATACTTTGAGTATATTAATCTAACGATAAAGTTCAGCAAACCAAAATAAATACCCTAATGCATTGAGGTATGTCTTCTTCTCTTGGCAGCACTTCATTTTCAGAAGAAATTAACCTATACAACAGAATGTACGCATTTGCTGCTAATTTTAGCGAGGAATCATTGTTATTTCTTCCAATTCCAAAATTTAATGTCACGTATGCGAGTGGAACCTGCAATTTATAATTATCGACATTTATTTGATTTGTAAGGTACTTGGTCCAAACATGAATTACAACATAATTTTCATCAAGTTCGCCAACGCTTTATAATGAAAAAAAAAAATGTAACTTGTCACCCCTTGGGATCGTGTGAAAAACGTGCATAAAATTTTACACATCGTTACACAGTAAGTGTTACAAAACTCATCGAACTTGGATACTACTGCGGTTCACTACAATAAACAGTAAATATTTACCGCATTATCAATTCTACAATGGTTAGAAATATTTGTTTTTTTCCAATACGTGCATATCTCTAGGGCGGTCCATGGGTTTGAGGGTGCTTACAAAGAAATGCCCGAGAGACCGTTGTGATTGCCCTGATTGAATACACATAAGTGGGGAACAATATTTTTCCTATTGAGGGCACACCATCCTCTGAAGAATGTTTGAAATAGGAAAACTACTATTAATATTACTTATGAGTACCTCAAATACTACTCAATGAAGTGATGACATGCACGCTGAGTATTCAAATTTTCAACCAAGAAGGTTATCGATACTTTGGGGATGTTTGTGGTACTATTTCAATTCAAACTGATAAGCGATCTATTCGTTCGTCCTAGAATGAATCAAGTCTCCTTCTTTTTCCACAGCCCCTTCTTCCATGTCCCGAAACTTTGTGAAGATGGTTTTTTAATGAGCTTTGAATAAATGAATTATTG